ATAGTTCTACCAGTTCACAGTTCCAGCTGCTGTCCTATTCTTTCAGATGGGTGCAATCTGGAATACCCTTCCTCTTCATTGGACAGAAAAGCAGAAAAGCCTCAAAGAGCCGAACTCAGGGCTCTATAGCTGCCCATCCCACCCCTCTCTCATTTTTTCTTGCAAACCATCTAATTGGATACTGATAGGAAGAATTGGATACTAATTGGATACTGATAGGAAGAAATTGTTTTTTGGTTTTGTCCTGGGAATAACAAATTTAAACATTCCAGTAACATTTTCTTCTTTGAAATCTAAATTATGAGATTGATTCTTCCTCTACTTTAGCCAAGACTTTAGATGAGTGTTTTAAAATCCTTTTATTTTCAGCCACTGCCTGTCAACTGGATGAGGAAATGTCTTCATTGTTTCCACATCCACAACGCAAACAGCTTATGGGACAAGTAATGAATATGCATGTCCTCCTTATCCAAATATAAGGAATGCCTGTACCCGGATTGCAAGCTGGATTCCATTCAACTTTCTGCTGGTGAAAAGAGGGAGGAGGAGCCCTCTGGGCCACTGAAAAGGCTGTGCCAGGATTACAGGACCCAACTGGACAAAACCCAGAAAGGGTAAAGCCGGTTGGTAAGAAGACGAAGCTGAGTAAGATTGAGCAGAAAAGCAGGTAGGATCCAACCCAAAGTAGTTAATTCAAGAATTATGCTTTTACATTAAGAAGTTTCTCAAAACAGATGATGGCATCAACCTGGCACTAGGCGAGCTATTCACAGGGCAACGTGTTCTCCTTCTTATCTCTGCTTCCACAGCCATCTTGTGTGGGTGACCAAGGTCAGCCGCAGAACTGAGCGAGCATGCTGCCCTCCTCCGTACTCTTAGATCTCCTTCCTCGTTCTGGGCTAAGCGCCAAAATATTGCACCATGTCAAATAACAGGAAAAGCATCACAGCTGGCTTTCTACAGAGACTTAGACTCACACTGGTTTTGATGATAATAAGCAGCTTTTATGACAAGAACCAGATAGCTAGGTATAGTCACCACCAGGCTGAATCCAGTACCACTGACCTCTTTATTAGTTTAACCTACCTCACGGGGTTGGTGGAAGGATAAATGAAGGAGATAAGAATGAGGTACACTGCCATGAGCTGCACAGAAGCAAGGTGGATAAAAACGTACTAGATAAATATGTTTGCTTCTTGTAGCATTTACAGCCTATACGAAGTACGTGGCTGTACACTGCCTGATGCTTTATCAATCTAAAACAAATCCCCCCCCCCTTTTTTAAGCCCCCGGAGGGGATTTTTTATTATTTTTAAAACTACAAAAAACTATTACAGAAAAACAGGAAAGGGGAACTACATATATAGGATAAAGAAAAGAAACCCACAACTACCTAAAACCCCAAGAGAGGAGATCTTCATTGGCTTAATTACATTTAAACTTCCCTTCTGTTAAACAAATCCCCTTTGTCAACAAAATGATTACTTACCTTCATCTGGACAAAATTTGAGTCCAGTGGCACCTTTAAGACCAACAAAGTTTTATTCTGGGTATAGGTTTTTGTGTGCATGCACATGAATCACAGAATAAAACCTTGTTATCTCAAAGGTGCCACTGGACTCAAACCTTGTCCTGCTGCCCCAGACCAACACGGCTACCCACCTGAATGTATTATATTCATCTGGTGCATGTACAGAATGTACTTAATTAACATTATTTACAGTGGCTTTATTTTCCCCCAAGCTTGAGGTATGGGCAGTCAAGTGACTGCTTAGCATTTCCACTATGTAGCTATTTGTCATATAATGAATACCATTCCTGTGCTATGACTCACTGTGGCTTTTTTTTCTAGGACCCACCCAAAGCCACCTGCACCACTTGGACCCTGGACTTACAGTTTCCTTGCACTGCTAACGGGACTAGCGGTAAAAACTTTTCTAGTAACAGAATTATATTCTAGGAAAGGGATCGGCAGCCTTTTATAATTAAAGAACCAAACTATGTCAGCATTTACAATAAGAGATCAACAACGAGTAAGTATGAGAAAGCCTAGTTGCATAACTGAAAATATGCAGCTTAACGTTAGTGAGAACTGACATGATGATTAAATCTGTAAAATTTCTGCAGTCCAAAAACTGGTAGTTGTGATTCCTTTATTAGTAAGCGGCACACACAAAGTCTTACACTAAGTAATAAATACATATGCGAGCACCCGAGTGCACTGGCCTAAATGAAGTGTTCACCTCTATAATTTCCCTTTAGGTAAAGGACCCCCAAGCAATGTTCCCTCTAAGCTGTGGAGTCTTGTGAGCAAAAAGTCTACTTTGTGAGTTACTGGGCATTAAAGTTGGGAGCGAGCGATTCGGCTGCTGCATAAACTAGCTTGCTCTGGAGCCCTCCTTCCTGAGCGAAGACAAAAATGTGTGAGCTGGAGGCTAAAAAACTGTGAGCTAGCTCACACTAACTCAGCTTAGAGGGAACACTGCCCCCAAGTCCAATACTCCCCAAAAAACCCTTGCCTGCCAACTAAAGCTTGGATCTCATAGTAAATTCAAGATAATGGAAGAGGGAGGCGAGACTTTTGCTAATTCCCTTCTCCCACTGCAGACCTCTGACTCCCTCACACTCGGGGGTCTCCTGCCCCCCCCCCAAGAGAAGCATTTGGGGAAGCATTTCAGGCTGCAACAGGATGGGGGTGGGAGACAATAAAGTTCTGCTCCACTGTGGAAATGGATTCTGTTAGTAGAGATTTACCATAGGATCCAAACTCACATTTGCCTAGTGCACTGTGATAGTTGAAGTGTTTCACATCCATTATCACGGTAATCCTTACATCAACCCTGTAACATAGGTCAGTATTATTATCCTCAGAGACCTAGTGACAATAGCATGGATAAGATGAGACTTGAACTGAAGACTTTAAGTCTTAGCTACCCTGCTACACTAGCTTTTAGAAGTGTTTCATGATCTGGAATGGTGGGACTTCAGCCATGAAAAAAAAACATATTTAAAATATTTACAGACTGCCTTTTCCTGTAACAACTGGACCAGGAACTGTGAATTCTCTTGAAAGCTGTGTGTGTGTGTTTAGCTGTCTGTAAACAACCTATAAAGTACCACTCAGAAACAACAACACATCGCGAAAGAAAGATTAGAGCTCTTACCGCTTCTTCATGCTCTTTCCAGCAATCATAGTCTGTTGCCATAGCGATACTTGCATAGCAGAGGCCGGCTTCCTTTGCCAGAATGACTTCGGGGGTAGTAGTCATGTTGATAACGTCTCCCCCCCAGCTGCGAAACATCAGGCTCTCTGCCCGGGAACTGAAACGTGGCCCTTCAATTGTGATCATCGTCCCCTTTGAGTGGCATTTGATCCCAAGCTTCTTTGCAATATCCATGAGAACCTTTTAAAATGCGCGCACACACACACACACACACACACACACACACACACACACAGAGAGCAAGAATAAAAATATTTGTAAGATTTTTTTTTAATCCTTTCCCACCATATGTCACCCTCAAGCTGGTTTAGATAATTCATCAGAAAATAAGACAAATTAGCAATGCAGACGCACAGATGGTGAGCAGATTTTTCAGTACCCTTGAGAAGAAATTACATTTCACCCACAGGTACCTGTGTAAAAATTACAACGTTGCAAGGTAGTTTCAGAGGGTAGCCATGTTGGTCCGCAGTAGTACAGCTAGATTCAGGTCTAGTAGCACCTTACAGGCCAACAAGATTTTATTTTTATTGGTTTTATTTAATTCCTACCCCACCCAACCCCACAAGCAGGCTCAGGGAGGGTTACAAGTGGATAAAACAATTAAAACAATTTCCATAGAATTACAATTAAAACCTATAAAACACAGTTAACAGGAGACATGATGGCGAATCTATAATTTAACAAAACTCCCAGGTGCTCACTGTATGTGGGCCCAAGAGGACCAGCATATTGAGCAAGTGGACAAAAACCACTACCTATGGCACAGGTCGACATAATGCACAACACAGGGGCGGACTGGAGCAGGGGAGGCCGATGTAATTGGACACCTGCTGCCTCAACCAAAGGCCTGCTGGAACAACCCCATTTTACAGGCCCCGTGGAACTATGAGAGGCCCTGCAGGGCCCTGATTTCATTTGGGAGAGTGTTCCACCAGGTCGGAGCCAGTGCTGAAAAGGCCCTGGCTCTGGTTGAAACTAAACAAATGTCTTTTGGGCCAGGGATCGCCAAAAGATGTTGTTCTTACGAGTGTAAAGCTCTTCAGGGGACATATTGGGAGAGACGGTCCTGCAGATTTTCGAGGTATAAGCTTTTGAGAGTCAATGATCCTTAGTATCTGACGAAGAGAACACTGACACTTGGAAAGCTTATGCCCTGAAAATCTTGTTGGCCTTTTAAAGTACTCCTGGACCTGACTCTAACTTTGCAAGGTAAATGTTTTAAATATCCACTATTAATGCTCAGAGGTTAAGCGAAAAAAAAACCCAACAACCCCCCCCCCCCCAAACCCACACAACATTAGAAGCAAACTGTTTTTCTATCTAGGCTTCAGTCTGCCAGGCTAGCAGAATGCCAATTCATACAGGACTTTTCCTCTGGTTTCAGAGTTGGCAAAGAAGTCCCATGGAACCTTCTGGCACCTGGCTTGTAATTTGTCATTGTACAGGAAAGGTGGGGTCTGATAGAGTTTAAAGCAGGATCCTGGGCTCTTTTTGGTCCCCCCTTTAGGGGAGAACAGGAGACGAAAACTTGGGAGTTGATATGGGAAGACAACTCAGCTTTAGTACGGAAAAGTTCTAAGAACATGAGAGGTTTGAATAAAGGTTGGGAAAGAGACCCAAACACAGCCTTAAACGGAAATCTGATTGCATTTAAGATGCAAAGGAAGATGCTGAAGGATTTAAACATCTGCTGAGAGATTTAAAATGAATGGCACAATCAAGCTGCCTTTAAAAATTCTCAACGAAAGAAAAAGAACAGAGAGCAGGTATGCAGGCTATGGTACCTAATCAGTTTTCTGGATGCTAAAGCACAATCCCAATTACCCAACAAATGTATTGAAATACTGCTGTAGCTAAAAATGAATGAGCACCAGTACAATTACTATAAGCAGACTGCTTCACCCTTTATGTGGCACCTGGGCTGCACTGACACTGTCAGCATGTGAAGCTGGAAACACAGAATGTGCATCACTGAACATTCGAGAAGACAAACAGGCACAGCTTAATGGGAAGGATGAGCATCTTTTGAGAATGTGATTTTCTCTTCCTTCTGGTTCCAAAGTGAGGTCACCCTGCTCCTTTCATTATGACTTGTGTTATGAAGTGCTCTCTACTCTTTTGAAATCACAGATATGTAAAGACTCTAGAAGTGGCCTTGCGTACTCCTGTTGCACCCCGGAGCAGATGCTCATAGTAAACCTTCTCACCACTATAATTTTTGTCAAATGAAGAATCCTGCAACACAACCACCATAAACTGTAGCATGGAGGAAGGACAGGGAGGGGTGGATTGACACTTTCTTGATCAATCAGTCAAGTCACACAGAGGAACCATGGATCAGAGCAGGTGGTGGAGGCTACAAGCATGTACGTCTTCAAGAGGGAATTAGATAAACATAGGTCACAGCAAGCTGCCAATGAACTCTGTGTAGTGCACAACCTTCCCTGCTTAGGGTTGTCTCCCCCCTCCTTCATGCTCCTTAGTGATACCCACCTGCGCATACTCGCTGGCACAATGTGTCGCCCATTTGCTTGTCTCATGCATTCCTTTCTATGAACGCTAGTACTGCTTTGAACTACAGTAATCAGCAAGGTCACAGGTGCAGGGAAGAGTCGGCTTCGTTTAGTCTATAATGAACTAGAGTATGAGAAGCGCTTAATTGTTTATCTTTCAGGAACCGTTGATTCCCATACTATGGGCGCGAATATGAGAGTCCACCTGCGCGAGCGGGAACCATGTCCATTGGTTATTGATAGTATGAATCTGCTTTATTATTGCTTGTCCCGACCGTTGTAGTTATTCCAAACAGTGAACTTGTTCCTGCTTCATCATGGCTTCAATAAAATAATACTTTGCTACAAACGTGTATTCGATTGACAGCTGGTGTGGGGATCGGACAATAGCGAGCATATTAGCCACAAGGCATTTTTGGCCACTGTGGGGAATTTCAGACAGCCGATATATTCCAGTTCAGGAACTGTTCCCTAACGGTTTCTGGTCTGACATTTCAGACAGAACCTTTTTAGTAATGGTTCCCTACCAGAATATATTTTCACTTTCAGACAGAAATACTTCTGTCCCATTAGGGAAGCGTTTCTGAACCATTTTACCTGCAAATTGCTTCCAAGCGGTCTTCACTTTTCTATACCATTTCTGAAGTGCTACAGGGTGCTGTGTAAAATGCCCCGTAGCGCTTCCTCCTGCGCCGCTTTGTTTTCCCACCCTTTTTCGCCCGCACAGGCGATCTCCGTCCTTTTTTTGGGAAAGTTTGTTTTAGAGCGCTATAGCGCTATAACACAACACCAAAACAGCAACCCCATTGGAATGCCTGGACTCCACTGGGATACATGAGATGGCTACATCTGCCACCTGGAAACAAGTACTTCATTGGACAGCTGACTTTGGTGGGAAATCAGGGCATCAGTGATTGGTGTGACAGATGATGCTAACCCTTCCATGCCCACTGTGAGTCAGGGGAAGGTGATGGGTTGTCAGGTTGCCAGCTGGGGAGAAGATGCTCATTGGACAGCAGGTTTAGGTGGGAGATCAGGGCATCAGTGATTGGTGAGACAGATGTTGCTAACCCAGCCTGATGTGCATCCAATCATGCCAAGAGACGACTGGCTGGAAAGTGACTGGCACAGAGCTGGAGCAGGTATAAACGGCAGGGAGGTAAACCCCTTATCTTTGTGGTCTGTCACACCAATCACTGATGCCCTGTTTTCCCGCCAAAGCCTGCTGTCCAAGGAGGTACTTGTTTCGAGGTGGCAGATGTAGCCATCTCATGTATCCCAGTGGAGTCTAGGCATTCCAATGGGGTTGCTGTTTTGGTGTTGTGCTGTAGTGCTATCGCAGTATAGCGCTATAGTGGTATAGCACTCTAAAACAAACCCACACAAAAAAAGGATGGAGATCGCCCGCGCGGGCAAAAAAAGGTGGGGAAACAAAGCGGTGCAGTCTGAAATAGCAGCCCTGTACTGGTTTACTCCAAGACGGTACAATAACGGCTTAAAAACAGCTTTAAAAGGGTACTGTGAAATTCCCCTCTGTGAGAGAGTGTTGGACTGGATGAGCCATTGGCCTGATCCAACATTGGCTTCTCTTATGTTCTTATGTAGTGGTGGGAACTTAGCTGTCATCCTTTGATCACAGCAATTTATGACTTTTCTGAGAGTCCACAGACCTGCACTCAGTTTAGTCATTGTCATATACAGCACAGGCTAGAATCCAAAAGGCCACACAGGATGCTCCATTCATCCACTTTTCTGGCTTTTTAAAAGCATTCTTGAAGATCATCCAGAGTAGCATTCAACACTGCATGAGGCAGAACTGAAAGCAAAATAATCACCCAGGCATGGAAGTGCTTTATTCTCATGCAAAGGGCTCTTTATATCCCAGCCATAGGCTATTTCATTTGAGTTAAGGCAAGATTTACTAACTTCTCTAGTTTTGGCACAGAAAGGTTCCGCCATTGAAATATGACATACTCCAAGAAGATTCGAATGGTTCCCATCATAAAAAGTCAGGTGCCTTTTGGTTGTCCTGCAATAAAGAAACAGAAGAGAACACACACTTAGAGGGAACATCTTTGGGGCTGACAAAAAATATGAAGGCATCTAAGCCACGACCAACTCTACAATGAATCAAGGTGAGATGGTGGCTTCAGGTGGCAGATGTTGAGAAGCACAGCAGCCTCTACATCACTCACACCACCAGACCACTTCCTAGCTCCTCCTCATTTCCCAGACTTCTTTAAGTACAGCACATCAAGCCACACATGAGCAAACAGACTTCCTCAACTCTCACATCTCAAGAGTTTGGGAAACCCTACTGGACATACACATATGTAAGTACGGGCATATGTTTAAAGATGCCTGAGGAACAAGGAGAAAAGAAACCTTACGTCTCCTGGCTCCTGCAGACGGTGTCAACAGGAAGGAGTAGTGGCCGGGAGCACACCCTTTTCCGGCTGCCACTGGCGATGCCAGAGCTATCAATGTGCCCATTTTCTGTACTGAAATATCAACAAGGATCATTGTAGAAACAAAGGCCATCTCAGGAAGTGCCAAAATGGGCTGAGCCTCCTGGATAATAGTTAAGGCAAATCAACTACAATACTCTGTCCTAAGAAAAAAATAATGGGGAAATGAAGCAGGTATTAATTAATTAATGGAAAAATGAAGCAGTCCCAAAGCAAGTGCTTCAAAAACACAACATATTCCATACCCTGCTTAATTGGGAAAGGCAATCTCTAAGAACACGAATCAATGACAAAAGTGGGTATTTACTAGGTGTATGTATTTGGATACTTCCAATCTGAAACGGTGTCTGAAATTCCCTGTTTCCTTTCAGGTAGCTCTGATGTGAAACTAAACAGGGAATCTTGGGCATTGTTTCAAATCAGAAATCTCTGAATGCCTACCCCTAGTACCTACACAGTTACCCATATTTAGCAGAGTTACAGTGAGTACCAGGGAGAAACTACACATACATTCCTATCACTGGGTGGAAACACATCTGGAGATGATTACTATCCAGTGGGAAGACCCTGAAAAGCCATCTTAATTGGGGAGGATATAAAGACAATAACGGTACAATCTCCATTTGTTTCCTTGCCAATAAATACCTTCCTCATTTCTGAAGAACTACTGATGAATTTCAGTGACTCAACACTGTGTTTTTTAAAATTCCTTTCATTTGTTCCCTGTCTATGGCTTCACTCGTAGCCAGAAACTAGTTTTTTTGTGTGTAAAAAAAAGGAAGAAGAAAATACAGACCAGCAGCTGTTGACAATGGCATCCTCCACTGTAAGCCAGTCAGCATTCCAACTGCCAATGTGTCAAGACCTCTGACTGCATTATCTTAAAAACTCACAAAAATGTCCCTTGTCTTCTGGCAGAAGAGGAAGGGCTCCAGATCTCGCCAGACTAGCAGCACAACCCAAATCAGAGTTACATGCTTCAAAACCTGTTGAAGTCAGTGGGCTTACAGGGGTGTCATTCTGCTTTGGATTGCACTGTAAAATACACAATGGCCAGAACTGAGGTACTAAACACATCTGAGGATTCCTGGCCAAGCCCCCCCCCCCAAAAAAAAAATGCTTAGTAAAACTAGACTGGACTGGCCATTGGTCAGATACAGCCGAGCTGCTCTTATTGATTCTGAGTAACTTCATTTGTACATCAACAGTCAAGAAGAACATTTTGTCATAGATCAAAATCTAATTCAGTTCTTGTCAGATGTTAATCTGCTGATGTAGAACCACATTCTCTGTCTTACCTGTCTATGAACTGGTCAATCATGACAATATCTCCAGGCTGGATTTCTTCTCTTAAGGAGCCGCAGGCAGTAGTTGCTAACACGTGAGAGCAACCCTCTTCCTTAAACGCCCACATATTGGCCCGGTAATTTATATTTGAAGGCATAATAGTATGATGTCTTCCATGCCTAAAAACACACATGGTGGAGGGAAATGCTTCTGGTTAAAATGCTACAAACGCTACACATGTTGATCAGGGAGAAGTGGCAGTCATGTGCGGACACATACAATCTCACTGCCTGGCTTTACGTAATTGCTCCATTTATTCATGCACATACAGGAAGCCAATCTAAAATCGAAACCAGGTGATGTTCTTTACCAGCTTAGGATCCCTCATGTCAGTTACTAGAGCTGCTAGCATTGGAAACTGGAGCTAGAACACCAAAGGGCAAGAGGCACTCTTCTGTTGGCGCAAGGCTACATTTCTAGTGTTGATATCCATTCACTCTTGGCCTATCCAGAGGATGCCAATCTCCGGAACACATGTTGTACCACCCTCCCTCAGTTCTCTTCTATCCCCTAAAAGAGTGGTGAGCCTCAGTACACAGAGACTGAGGCTGACTGCAAGCCTAGGCTCTAGCTGCAGGATTTGTCTTTCCCAGTAAGTTCCGCTGGAGCAGTTTTGTGACAGTCCTCTGAAGCTGTCACCCTAGAAATGGGTAAGATCTACAGCTGCCAAGAGTTGAGCTTTCTTTGTTGCAGCATGCATCCTGCCTGAAGAGGTCACACTTTTATCAGAAAGTGTTAAGCAGAATGACTAAGGAGGGGGTTTCTGTAAAAAGAATAGGGATGTAGTCACGTCTGTGAAGTTTTCGGCAATTCATTGTTCATTGCATAATCTATCCTATTTGTAGTATGTGTCGTTCTTAACCTGGCAATCTAGTGTCATTACATTGCCTGTTGTTTGTATAATACTGACCTTGGGTTGGATCCAGCACAAAACCTATCCTTGGGCAAGAACTTCTTGCACAAATAGAATGCAAAAAATAAACAAACAAACAAACAAGATTCTGGTAGCCATTTGTGGTAAGTTAAACGTATTGTATTCTCGCTTGTATTTCTGCTTGGGCAAGATCTTGTGCAAATGGAACTGCGCTAACTCTGTTTATGTTTCCATTTGCACATCACTGGATCCAAGCCCTTATTTGGATATTTTAAATTATAGTATACTGTCTTTGTTGCAATGTTTCAAAATGTATAATCTGCCTTGAGTTCAGCAAGAAAGACAGACTATAAGTGAAGTGAGTAAATGAGTCCCAGATGAAACCCAATATTCCTTAGCCTTTAAGGCATTGGGGTGGAAGGTTTTTCTCATGTTTACCTCTCTGTATCACATATCTCCATATCCCAAGAACTCAAGGCAGGTTACATTTCATTCTAAGTTTATTTTCATCTACACATCAGCCTTGTAAACAAGGAAAACAATGTCTTCTGCAAAGCTGCTAACTGAATACAGAAAGATAAAAAGAGAAATCAAAATGGAAAAATGTACCAATCTCATCAATTATACATCTGTATTAACTGGAAAGCATCCTAAATGCTCGATTTAACACCAATATTATGTGAATCTTTGAATGGTTTTGGTGGCATGGTATCATATCCTTGAAACAGAGGTCTGTCATACAGACCACATTCTCTAATACAACTGAAACATTATTTAGGAATCCACATACCTGGCCAGGAGCACACAGTCAACATTCTTTATCTTTCCCAAAATCAAGGCATCTGATGGCTAGAGGAAACAAAAGAAAACTAATTAGGATTATAAATTGCCATCCAGAGTCAAAACTTAAAAACTGTCCTGTTCAGAATAGGAAGTGGTGGTGGCTATAAGCACAGACAGCTTCAAGACAGGATTAGATAACCATATGGAGCAGAGGTTCATCAGTGGCTATTAGCCACAAAGGTATGGATCGGGCAGTGATGTTCTGTATTCTTCGTGCTTGGGGGACAATAGCGGGAGGGCTTCTGGAGTTCTGGCCCCGCTGATGGACTTCCTGATGGTACCTGGGTTTTGGTCACTGTGTGACACAGAGTGTTGGACTGGATAGGCCATTGGCCTGATCCAACATGGCTTCTCTTATGTTCTTATAACAGAAAGAGAATTCTGCTGCTTACAACTGTCATTCTCTGAAACAGATTCATCCTATAAAGGCATGTTTTTACCTTCTTTTGCAAATAATCCACCAACAGTAGTTTTTAAAATGTCATGCTCCTAAAGAACAACAAATGCACTCTTCCAAAATCCCCATTTATGTCAATGAGGACTACTCCACAACAGTTCTTAGCAGGGTCTTGCTTATGGATAGGTCTGTGTGGTGGCTGCTGATGGCATCCTGTGATGCCCATTCAGAAGAGCACAGTACATCTGTGGGAAAGGCAGGTATTTTGTTGCCAAAGTCACACAGGATGCTAGAAGATGACCTGAGCCGATCCAGTCACTGGGTCCCTTGAAGTTATGTGAACGAAAAGGGAACCTGGCATGTGTGGACTGCAAGGACCTGACACACTTAGGGAGCATATTCACAAAATCAACCCTGGGTTGGATCCAACTTGCTTTTCCATTGTTGAAAAAGGGAGGAAGGGGTTCCCCTTTTGACCATAAAAAAGCTGAGGATCATGGGACATGCATGGACAAAAGCCAAGTGGAATGGGGGCTGTAGGAAGGACAGGAATTGAGTGAGATCAAGCTCCAACTACCTGTGTGTACAGGACTCACAAACAGGAGAGTAAGATAATTATATCCATGAATGCATCTAATGAGAGTTAGTGCCAGGAGATCACAAATAAGTGGCAGGAAAACCCAAAAGGTCACACAGGGGGCACAATCTTGAGTGAGGGAGATGTTCATTGCACATAATGGGATGCTGCAGAATCGACACCTGAACCCACTGATGCCATTACCACAAACTGTGTTTAAAATCCACTGAATGTCATCAGTTGTTATACAGCATTGTGGACTGCTCTATGGTAGTCTGTCAGATTTGAAGTTCTTGGACATGTGGTCACTGTTCATAAGCACCTCCCTAACAACTGCCACACATAAAGCACACAAACAAGATGATCAGGAACAAATACCAAGTTATTAATGCATACCTTTCCATATGGCGTATCAACATATTTTTCTGTTCTGCCTTCAAGTATGTCAGGATCATCCAGACCAGTCCCCCCAATAATGCCAATCTTGCAGAAAAAAGAAGTAAGTATCAGACATCTTAAACCAAATAAATTGCTCCTGAATTTACAACCAAAACATCACCCTACAATGTGTGTTATGTGCTGTCAAGTCACGCCAGCCTTTTGGCAATCCTAATGACCTCCAAAATGTCCTATCATTAACAGCCGTGCTCAGGTCTTGCAAACTGAAGACTGTGGCTTGCTTTATTGAGTCAAGCCATCTCATGTTGGGTCTTCTTCTATTCCTACTGTCCTCAAATTTTCCTAGCATTATTGGGTTTTTTTAGTTAGTCCTATATTCTTGTGATGTGATCCAAACACATAATAATAACAATAACAACAACAACAACAAACAGCAGAATAGAAAAGAAAGAACAGGAGGAGACCATAAAATACCAAGACCTATGACTAGAGCTAAAGCACCTCTGGGAGAATTGGAGCCCATGGAGCAGTGCCACTGCCTAGAAGTCTCAGAAACACCTGGACATTCTGGGCACTGAACAAATAACACCACCTCAGCTCCAGAAGACAAGTGTTGATTGGAACAGCAAGAATTATGCAAAGATACATCTGCAATACCTAAGAATTTGCCTAGATCTTGAATTGCAGAACACCATCTGCCAGTTAAATATCTGACTATGACAATTCTAAATAATTATTATAATTATTATAAATAATGATAATGACAAGATTGAAGGCCACAGAAGCAAATAATGCCGTTAGTTTGAGATTCAAGATTGCTTTTTGCAAGGACAGCAATGTTTGAATCATTCAGCATTTTTTAAAAAATGTCTTTTATCAAACACTTATAAAGCACCACCATTGTAAGAAATGCACCATCTCCCGTGAAAGAGATAATGGTGAAGCAAATGTAAAGCATACATCTATCAGCCACAAAATATACTTTTCTCTTTGTTTGTTTTAATTTTAAAGTGTTTATTGAGAGTAAGTATAACATACAATAGGAGCTGCGGTGGCTCAAGTGGTTAAGACGCTGAACTGCAGGCTGTGAAAGGTCAGTAGTTCAGCACTTGGAGACCCGGGTGCCGCATGATGGAGTGAGCTCCCATCTCTAGTTCCAGCTCCTGCCAACCTAGCAGTTCGAAAGCAAGAAATTGCAAGTAGATAAATAGGAACCACTTCGGTGGGAAGGTAACAGCGTTCCGTGCACCTTGGTGTTTAGTCATGCCGGCCACATGACCACGGAAACATTTTCGGACAGCGCTGGCTCTTCAGCTTTGAATCGGAGATGAGCACCGCAACCCTAGAGTCGGATTTGACTGGCTTTCGAGCAAGGGAACCTTTACCATTTATAACATACAATAACTGCAAAACAGTATGCAAAATTCCTGAGAATCCAATATTACAAACCAGCTGAATAGTCATCAACAAAATTTCAACATTAAGCAATAGTTAAATAGTAAGTCAGTATCAGGTCAGTACATACTTTTACAAGTGATATTTGAGCTGTAAATCCTAATGAATTGATTCAAGTCTAAAATACAACATATTTGGGAGTCTGCAGTTCTGAACCACAAAAGGAACCTTGACAGTAAGGCAGAGGTCAGGGTGAGATCAAAAATGAAGCCAGGCGTGTTAGTCCATCCTAGAGGGAAGCAAGTCATGTTCTGCCATGAAGCCGAGTACTGGTTGTCAGGTAAGTACAAATTTATCATAAGTTTTACTGGAACCATTTTGCATCTGATCCAAAGTATTAGCGATTTTATTCATCACGAATTGATCATACTTTTCTCTTTTGAATATGCAAAATGCATGCGGAAGTCGACTGAAGTCAATGAGGATAGAAAGGTGTAACTCTGCTTACAATGACACTGTAAATTCTTTTACTGGGTGACAGCTCCTGCTTGTTAAATCAGCCATTGCTTCTCCTTTATTACAAGCTTTCATATGTACAAATTAAAAGTAAATCCTGCCTGAGGCTTCACCGGCCACAAAACTTGTTACTACATTATTTATTGATTCAGAAACTTTGTCACCTCTCCAGACCAGCTTGAAGTGGGTCACAAGTGCAACAATATAAACAAATCATAAAACCACAGCATAAAACCATTTTCAGAAGCTTAAAATGACAGTGATAAAAACAGTCCCCAGGTGAAAACCAGACCATAAACACAGACGGAATCCCCTCAGTTACTCACCTGAAGGTAAATAAGGTAGGTGCCATGTAGTGTATTCAAAGCTGCCTTGAATGCATGATATGTTGTGAAACACCTAATTGAAGTGTAATGTAAAGCTTCGTCCTGGGCTAGGATCCAAATCCATCCAATCGTGTTACTAGCCCAGGAAGCACCTAACCAATCACTTTCAAGCAAGCTTCCTGAGCGGGAACATCCGTGATGGGTCCTTATGTGAACAACCTTATTGGTTGGTATTTGTACAGTGGGTGTGGCTACATTAGCCGGGAATGTTTAAAAGCAGGGCAGCTGCAATGTAAAGGCTGTTCTGGCTATCAGATGTTGATCTGTGTTGGAGTTGTGTTCGAGTTGAAGAATAAAGTTGTGTTCTTGCTGAATCACTCTCCGACTGCACTTTCATCATAGTGCAAGGTGGGTAGCCCACAGATCAGAAGTAATTAAATCTGCGAACAGCTGTGTGCTAGCAATAACCCGTTTCTTTTTTACCAAGGGTAACCAGTATGTTCCTGCGGCCCTAAAAGTGTTTCAGCACAAAATTGGAGCGAAGCTTCTTTATGGGGTGCCCATTTGGATCACAGCTTTTAACAAAATGGTAGAACAACTCCAATCCAATTTTGTGAGGAAAATATTAGGGTTGCCCCTGTGCGTTTCCTACGCCGCTATTTGTTTGGAAGTCAATATGATACGCTTGGAAACAAGGGCTTGGATAATTACCTTCAGATTTTGGCTACGTTTGCACTTTAGGAACTGTCCCAATAGCCTTATTACATATCTGTTGGAAGAGTCTCATTGCTCTGAGTGGTTTGCTGCTATAGAAAGGAAAATCGTCTCAATAGGGTTATGCGTGAATGATATGATGTCCTTATCTGAAGCACACATCTTTGCCCTGCTCAAACAGAGATTAATTGATATTGAGATGCAAGAGCTTAGAGCCTTGGCTTCTGGTAGATGCTCCCCTTTAAGATGGGCACGTTTTCCGATCAACACCCCTGCACAATACTTATTGGATTTGACTTCTCCACAGTTGCGTAGAGCATTTATGCTGGCCCGCTTTAACGTGCTCCCCTCTGCGGTTTTAGCAGGAAGATTTAAGAAAATCCCCTACTCTGTTAGGTTTTGTGATTGTGATTCAGAGGAGATTGAAACAATCGAACACGTATTCCTCCACTGTAGTTTGTATGATGACATTCGGGCAGTCTATCTAGAAGCCATACTTAAGAAAGATGTCAAACAATCAGATGACAGAATGTTGTACCGTTTATTGGCTTCACAAAATACAGTGGTTATTGAAGCGGTGGCTAATTTCTGTAACTGCCTTATAATGAGGAAGTTATGTGTTTAATCAATGAACTGAAGGGTGACTGTTTATGACTCTGATCCATGCCAATAAAGGTTTTGAATTGAATTGAACTCTCCGACTGCTTTGTTAAGCGAGCAACTTAACATGCCAGGTGAACCCCAAAGGGCTGGGCTTTCCAAACATGACAGAGCCCTGTCTTTGGTTGCCTCTGCAGGGGCTGGCATGGAGAATCAGGGCTCGGAAAGGTCTTAACTGACAAACTCGCCCACACAGGAGAAGCAGCCCTTCATGTTCCCTAGTCTCAAGCCATTATAACATAGTTAAAAATGCTTTATTTTATAAACTACTTCAGTCATACAAATGATCCAAAAATTATGTAAACCAATGCAATTGTATGAATAACGAACCTCTGTCTAGATTGGGCTCCAAAGATCGATGCCTAGATGCTTTCTGTAAGAAAGACCAAATGACTGTGGCATCAGAAATGCATTGAGTCGTGCTGAACATTTTTTAAAAATGCCCAGCTCTCAACCATTCATATAACATCAAGGCACAGAAAAGTTAAGTCTGACAAAATAAAGCCTCCCACACATAAAGACATCCCTGTTATTTCTATTGGTGTTCTCTGACTTGTGAAATAAGGCAAGAAGCTGTTATTTATGAAGTATGCTGTTTAACAGAAGTCCTTTTCCAGAGAACTTTTCCAAATATTTGGGTGTCCCTTTCAGCCCACTCTTAGAGGAAACTTATCCCCACAAGTTCCTGGTCAATGTAATACCACAGAATCACAATTAGAGAGCTAGTAAATGGTATCAAGCTGTACCCTTATCTACTCAAAAGAAAGATGACCCATCTAAGCAAATGTTATACACAAACAAAAAATTATTACTGTCCATACTTGTAACTTCTATGTCAGTGGTACTCTGTCCATAGCTTGAGGAGAGCCGCATTTGCAATTACTATCCACTAAAAGAGCGCCACATTTTCTTCTATTCCTGGCATGAGGCCTGTATCTCAGGGAAGTTCACAGCTTATCCATTCATCTTGTGGGGGCTATTCCAAGGTGGAAACTGCTTGCCAACCACACTCCCCCCCCCAGGCAAGAGACAGTTTCCTGAAACATGGGACGTGCTACATTGGGAAACAACCAATAACCATGCAGGATGTAGGAGTGTTCACTGTGCTTGAGCAGAGAACAATATTTTATTTTGGAGGAAATTTGAATCCTCCAATGTATTTTAAGATTTCAGATTTTTCTGCAAGCCTGAGAGGTCCCCCAAGTTTGCAGGAAAAATTAATGTCAGTGTAGCCCCAACTCACTGACTATCTGAAGATGCGGGCTACACTTCACTATTAGGTAAATAAATAATAACTCTGTGTGTGTGGTGGGGGGAGATCAACTAATAATAGGTAATACAGAGGTGTCCACAGGTCAGTGGTGAAGCACATCGTTTGTGCATATATGACCCCAAACTGATGGATTCCAGACAGCAGGGCCGGGAAAGCCCTCTATATCAGAATCATGACAGCCATTGTCAATTAAAGGACAC